AAGACTCACAAGGAAAAAAGAGAAGCATCAAATAAATAAAGTCAGAAATGGAGGAGAGAAATTGGATACCACAGAAATACAAAGGACTACAATAGAATACTGTGAAAACCTATACACCAAAAAATTGGATAACCTGGAAGAATTGGATAAATTCTTAAAATCATATAACCTCCCAAAACTGAATCAAGAAGAAATAGAGAATCTAAATAGATCTGTCACAACTAAAGAGATTGAAACAATAATCAAAAATCTCCCAAAAAATACAAGTCCAGGACGAGATGGCCTCCCTGGTGAATTCTACCAAACATTCAAAGGAGATTCAACACCTGTCCTTCTCAGACTCTTCCAAAAAATTGAAGAGGATAGGATGCTTCCAAACTCATTTTTATGAGGCCAACATTACCCTGATATGAAAACGAGACAAGGACAACACAAAAAAGGAAAATTACAGTCCAATACCACTGATGAACATCAATGCAAAAATCCTCAACAAAATATTAGCAAATCAAATACAACAATACATTAAAAGGATCATATACCACAATCGAGTGAGATTTATTCCAGGGAGGCAAGGATGCTTCAACATCCACAAATTAATCAATATGATACACGACATTAACAAAATGAAAAATATAAAGCACAGAATCATCTCAATAGATGCAGGGAAATCATTTGATAAGGTTCAGCATCTCTTTATGATAAAAACTCTCAGTAAAATAAATATAGAAGAAAAATATCTCAATATATGAAATGCCATACATGACAAACCCACAGCCAACATCATACTCAATGGGGAAACACTGAAAGCCATCCCTCAGTGAACAGGAACAAGACCAGGGTTCCCACTCTTGCCACTCTTATTCAACATAGTATTGGAGTTCTAGCTGGAGCAAGTAGGCAAGTAAAAGAAATAAAATACATCCAAATTTGAAAGGAAGAAGTAAAACTGTCACTATTTACAGATGACATGATTTTATATATAGAAAATCCTAAAGAATCCACCAAAAACTATTAGAAATACTAAATGAATATAGTACAGTTTCAGGGTACAAAATCAACATACAAAAGTCAGTCACATTTTTAAACAGTGACGACAAACTAGCAGAAAGAGAAGTCAAGAATACAATCCATTTATAATCACAACAAAAAGAATAAAATATGTAGGAATAAACCTAACAAGGAGATAAAGGACCTGTACACTGAAAACTATAAATCATTATTGAAAGAAGTCAATGATGAAATGAAAAGAAGGAGAGGTATTCCATGCACATGGATTGGAAGAATAAACATAGTTAAAATGTCCATACCACCTAAAGCAATCTACAAACCCAATGCAGTCTCAATCAGAATCCCAATGAGTTCTTCATGGAAATAGACAAAGAATCCTAAAATTCATATGGGGCAACGAAAGACTCTGAATAACTAAAGCAATCCCGATAAAAAAAGAACAAAGCTGGAGGAATCACAATCCCTGAATTCAAAATATACTACAAAGCTCTAGTAATCAAAACAGCATGGTACTGGTACAAACACGGACACACAGATCAATGGAACAGAGTTGAACGCCAGAAATAAAACTACACATCTATGGACAAAGGAGCCAGGAACATACAATGGAGAAAGGAAAGTGTCTTCAATAAATGATGGGAAACTGGACAGCCACATGCAAAAGAATGAAAGTAGACCATTATCTTACACCATACATACAAATTAACTCAAAATGGATTAAAGACTTGAATGTAAGACCCGAAACCATAAAACTCCTAGAACAAAACATAGACAGTGTGTTCTTCAACCTTGGTCTTAGCAGCATCTTTCTGAGTATGTTTTGTCAGTCAAGGAAACAAGGAAAAAAATAAACAAGCGGGACTACAGCAGACTAAAAAGCTTCTGCACAGCAAAGGAAACTATCAACAAAACAAAAAGACAGACTACCAATTGGGAGAAGATATTTGCAAATCATATGTCCAAGAAGGAGTTAATATCCCAAATAATTAAAGAACTCATACAATTCAACAACAAGAAACAAACAGCTCAATGAAAACATGGGCAGAGGATCTGAACAGGCATTTTTCCAAAGAAGATATACAGATGGCCAAAAGGCACATGAAAAGATGTTCAGCATGACTACTTATTAGGGAAATGCAAATCAAAACCACAATGAGATATCATCTCACCTCTGTCAGAATGGCTATTATTAAAAAGACAGGAAATAAGTGTTGGAGAGGATGTGGAGAAAAGGGAACCCTCGTACACGGCTGGTAGCAATGTAAATTGGTGCAACCACTATGGAAAACAGTATAGAGATTATTCAAAAAATTAAAAATAGAAACACCACATGATACAGCTATTCCGCTTCTGGGTATTTAAAGAACACAAAGACACTAATTCAAAAGATATGTGCATCCCTATGTTCACTGCAGCATTATTCACAGTAGCCAAGACTTGAAAACAACCTAAGTGCTCATCACTGGATGAATAGATAAAGAAGATATGGTATGTATATACAATGGAATACTACTTAGCCATAAAAAGGTGAAATGTTGCCATTTGCAGCAACATGGATGGATTTTGAGGGTATTAGGCTAAATAAAAGAAGTCAGACAGAGAAAGACAAGTATCATATGATTTCACTCATATGTGGAAGATAAACAAACATACACATAGATACAGAGAACAGATTGGGGGTTACCACGGGGAAAGGGAGGTGGGAGGGCAAAAGAGGTAAAGGAGAATATGTGTACAGTGACAGACAGAAACTACACTTTTGGTGGGGAGCACCATGCAGTCTATATAGAAGGCAAAATATGATGTACACCTGAAATTTATACAATGTTATAATCAATTATAACCTCAATGTTACATCAATTACAAAAATGGAGAAAGATCTGAATAGACATTTCTCCAAAGAGGATATACAAATGACCAAGAAGCACATGAAAAACTTCTCAATGTCATTAGTCATTAAGGAAATGCAAATTAAAACCACAGTGGATTACCACGTCACACCCAGTAGGATGGCTTTCATCAATAAAACGATTGATGACAAGTGTTGGTGAGGATGTGGAGAAAGTGGAATTCTCGTGTATTACTGGTGGGAATGTAAAATGGTGCAGTAGTTGGGGAAAACATTTTGGCAGTTCCTCAAAAGGTTAAACATGGAGTTCCCATGTGACCCAGTAGTCCCACTCCTAAGTATCTACCAGGAGAAATGAGGTCATACGTTCACTCTAAAACTTGTACAAGAATGTTCACAGCAGCATTATTCATAATAGCCACAAAGTGGAAACAGCCCGAAAGTCCTTCAGCTGGTGAATGGATAAATAAATCTGGTACATCCATATAGTAGAATATTATTCAGTCATAAAAATGAACACAGTTCTGATATATGCCATGACATCGATGAGCCTTGAAACCATGCTAAGTGAAAGGAGCCAGTCACATAAGGTCGCATGTTGTATGATTCCACTTATATGAAATGTCCAAGACAGGCAAATCCACAGAGACCAAAAGCAGACGAGTGGTTACCGGGGTCTGCGGTAAGGGGAGGAATAGTGAGTGATCTCTAATGGTTAAGGAGTTTCTTTTTGAGATGATAAAATTATTTTGGAAGTAGATAGTAGTGATGGTTGCACAATCTTGTGAATATACTAAAAGGCATGGAATTGTACACTTTAAAATGGTATGTGCATTATATCTCAATAAAAAATGATTGGAAACTTGTATTCCTAAAATTTTCATTTGTTATTTTTCTTGAACATCTTTATCAATATATATTAAGCTCCCTCGTTCTTTTGCACAGCTCTGTTTTTCAGTTTTGAATGCTAGTGATAGACATTTGGGTTTTCCCTGGGTCTTTCTTCATCATTACTCATAGTGCTCGTTCTGGTACATGTGTCCCAGCAAAGACGTGGCATAGATTTAGCGGTGGCACTGCATGGTCAGCGTGTCTGTACTGCAATACTAATGGAGATCACCTGTTCTTCTCCCATTCCAGGTGCCTTCAGGACAATGAGTGGAACTACACCAGAGCTGGTCAGGCCTTCACTACGCTCAAGGTGAGGTCTGGGAATCAAGTGGGTTAAAGCTGGATGTTTCTGGGCCTTCAGGAAGGCCAGGATGGTGGAGCCCAGTGGCCTGGGAATGAAACTCAGGGAGCTGGCCCTTCTGACATCCTGACTCCTTCCCTCCAGACAGGGGGCAAGATCCCAGAGGAGGCCTTCAAACAAATCCCCTGAAAGGAGCCCTTGGATCGCGTCTTTGCCTTCATCCACGTCATCTTTGTTTCTCTTTTCTGCAGCCTACGGCCATGCCCATGCTGGGGTGGGAGGCCTGGCTGACTGAGAAGGCAAAGTTAACTTGTAGGGCCGGGTACATAACACCTGAAGGGTCAGTTGTTCTGTGTATTTTCCCCACTCACGATTGCTGTTTATTTGCATAATAAAGAGTGACGTTGCACGTTGTATGCTGTGTGTCCTGGATCGCTCTTGCCCTGCCCCAACCGTGAGCCAATGGGTCCAGGACTGAAAGGCCCTGCCCTCTCCTCCTGCCCCCCATTCACCCTGGCAGTCCCTAGCAGACACATCAGGCTTGAGTCCATAGGTAGTTTGTCAGTAAATCCTGTGAGAAGGGACACACGCTGCTTCCAGAGATTGGCCTTTGCAGGCAGTGTGAATCAGTCAGTTGCTCTGCCTGAAGGCCCGCAGAAACAAGCATGTGACCTGGCACAAAGGGGCTTCACAGAGGATGCCTTCTGCCTGGTGAGGGCTGTGGAAGGAAGGAAGCTGAGGACTCACATATTTGACTTATTCCCCATCATTTGAATGTTTTCGAAGACCACACCACGAACAATTTTATGGTTTGCACACAGGGGAATGGGAAATGGGCCTTTTCACACCTCTCACCATGCTTCCATTTGTCTTCTCATCCAGGCACTGTACCGCCCCCTCCCCCTTCCTCAAGGTGGCCTGTGGGAGGGATGTCACTTTAGCACCTGAGAGGGAGGGAGAGCCAGCCTGTCTGCCCAGTGCCTTTCTCAGGGAGCTGACACCAGGTGCTCCAGGTCCATGTGTCTGAGGAGGTTCAGTCCTTCATTCTCAGTTCCAAACAACAATAGCACATGATCTCACGTTCTGGTCAGTTCTGTGCGACCTTTCTCATTGACTAGCAATTAGTAGTTCAGAATTGCAGGCAAGAGTTGAAAGAGACACTTACACAATTCATTTTCCACACTTCCGTGACGTTTGCACTTTAGACGACAAGCAGGCATAACTTTTGAAATGAAAATAACAGCAATAACAAATTTCAACTTAGAATCTTATAAATGATGACATAGGTGAGGTACCACCTGTTTACAAATTATGCCTCTATTTTTGGGTCTCGCGTACTACCGGTATTTCCAACCACTTGCCACTTTTCCATTCTTTACGTATATTTACATGAAGGATCCATACATTGGCGCGTGCATGTCTTAAAAATATGAACTAAGGGGATAATTGCCATTACATAAGGAATAATTCCATGTTATTCTGTGTGGTGCCTCAGTGATCAACGTCTAGTCTCGGCCTTCTCACCTAGAGTACAGAGACCACAGTGCACACTTCTCAGCCGCAGCCTGAGGAATAGAGGCAGTCTCACACGTTAGCAAACAGTCGCACTGTCTGGCTCAACTCAGGCTCTCCGAGCTGTCTGAGTTCCCTCATGGGCAGGGGCATTGGAAACCATTGCATGGCCCGTCTACTTCGCTCTTTACATCCTCAGGCTTCCACATCCTCGGGCTCCTTCCCTAGCCACCTCAGATGCCACAGTCTTCCAGTTACTCATTCTCCTGCCGGTTCCCTCAATGCCCTAGGGCCCATGACCTGGGAAAATGCTGACCCTGCTATCTTCCTCCTCATACAGAGGTCCCTGTGCAAACTGTCCTGCAGCACAGGTTTTTGAAGTGTAAATGCTGAGGCAATCTTGCTTTGCAAGATTATTTCTGAAGTTGGGGGGCAACAGGTACTCTTATACATTGCGTCTGAGCACCTACATTGGCGTAGCCATTCTTTAGAATAATTTGGAACAATTTAGTCATAAATACACACACATACATGTACACACATTTTCATATAAAGAGAATCATAACGTAGATACATATTGTATGCGTTTCTTTCAGTTGTAAAATTTATTGACACAAATTTGTTTATAATACTCACTTCTTACTATCCTTTAAGATTTTTTTTGGACTTTGTAGAGATGTGTTTTTCCTAAATTGAGGTGAAATTCACATAACATAAAATTATCCATTTTTTAGAAAAAAATTTTATTGAGTTTGGTAGTTAACAACCTTGCGAAATTTCAGTTGTACATTATTGTTTGTCAGTCATGTTATAGGTGCACCACTTCTCACTTTGTGCCCACCCCCACCCCTCCTTTCCCCTGGTAGCCACTAATCTGTTCTCTTTGTCAGCATCTTTAACTTCCACAGATGAGTGGAGTGATACAGAGGTTGTCTTTCTCTATCTGGCTTACTTCACTTAACATAATATTACCCTCAAGGTCCATCCATGTTGTTGTGAATGGGACGATTTTATCCTTTTTTCTGGCTGAGTGGTATTCCATTATATATATATATATATATATATATATATATATATATATATATATATACCATATCTTCTTTATCCAATCATCAGACAGAAAATCAACAAGGAAACAGTGGAATTAAACAAAAAGCTAAAACAGTTGGACTTAATAGACATATATAGAGCACTCCATCCAAAAACAGCAGAATACACATTCTTCTCGAGTGCGCATGGAACATTCTCAAGGACAGACCATATGTTGGGAAACAAGGCAAGCCTCTACAAATTTAAAAAAATTGAAATAATAACAAGCATCTTCTCTGATCATAATACTATAAAGCTAGAAATTAATTACAAGAAGAAAGCTGAGAAAAGGACAAAGATGTGGAGACTAAACAATATGCTATCGAACAAGCAATGGATCATTAAACAAATTAAAGAAGAAATCAAAAAATATCTGGAGACAAATGAAAATGATAACATGCCATACCAACTCATATGGGATGCAGCAAAAGCTGTATTGAGAGAAATTCACTGCAATAGAAGCACACCTTAAGAAACAAGAAAAATGCCAAATAAGCAATCTCAAATTACACCTAACTGAATTAGAAAAAGAAGAACCAACAAAGCCCAAAGTTAGCAGGAGAGAAATAATAAAACTCAGAGCAGAAATAAATGCTACTGAAACAAAAAAGGCAGTAGAAAGGATCAATGAAACAAAGAGCTGGTTCTTTGAGAAGATAAATAAAATTGACAAACCCCTAGCCAGACTAACAAAGAAAAAAAGAGAGAAAGCTCAAATAAACAAAATCAGAAATGAAAGAGGAGAAATAACAACAGACTCCACAGAAATACAACGGATTATAAGAGAATACTATGAAAAGCTATATGCCAACAAAATGGATAACCTAGAGGAAATGGATAAATTCTTAAACTCTTACAACCTCCCAAAACTAAGTCAAGAAGAAACAGGCAATCTGAACAGACCAATCACAAGGAAAGAGATTGAAACAGAAATCAAAAGCATCCCAAAGAATAAAACCCCAGGACCAGATGGCTTTCCTGGGGAATTCTACCAAACTTTCAGAGAGGATTTAATACCTCTCCTTTTCAAGCTATTCCAAAAAAGTTAGGGAGGATGGAACACGTCCTAACACATTTTACGAGGCCAACATCACGGTGATACCAAAGCCTGACAAGGACAGCACAAAAAAGGAGAACTACAGGCCAATATCACTGATGAACGTAGATGCAAAAATTCTCAACAAAATTTTGGCAACCTGAATTCAGCAATACGTCAAAGGATCATACATCATGATCAAGTGGGATTCATACCACAGACACAGGGATGGTTCAACATCTGCAAATCAATCCGTGTGATACACCACATCAACAAATTGAGGATTAAAAACCACACGATCATCTCAATAGAAGCAGAGAAAGCATTTGACAAGATCCAACAGCCATTTATGATAGAAAGTCATAACAAAATGGGGATAGAAGGAAATTACCTCAACATAATAAAGGCCATATATGACAAACCCACAGCCAACATCATACTCAATGGGCTAAAACTGAGTGCCATCCCCCTGAGAAGAGGAACGAGACAAGGATACCCTCTATCACCACTCTTATTCAACATAGTACTGGAGGTTTGGGCCAGAGCAATTAGGCAAGAAAAAGGAATAAAAGGAATGCAAATAGGGAGCGAAGAAGTGAAACTCTCACTGTTTGCAGACGACATGATCTTATATATTTGGAAAACCACAAAAAATCCATTGGAAAACGATTAGAAATAATCAACTACAGCAGAGTTGCAAGGTATAAAATCAACTTACATAAATCAGTAGCATTTCTGTACTCTAATAACGAACTAACAGAAAAAGAACTCAGGAACACAAAACCATTCAAAATCGCAACAAAAAGAATAAAATACCTTGGGGTGAATTTAATTAAGGAAGTGAAAGACCTATACAACAAAAACTACAAGACTTTCCTGAAAGAAATTGATGACGACCTAAAGAGATGGAAAGACATTCCATGCAGGTGGATTGGAAGAATAAACATAGTTAAAATGTCCCTTCTACCTAAAGCAACCTACAGATTCAATGCTACCCAATAAGATTCCCAATGACATTCTTTGCAGAAATAGAACAAAGAATCCTAAAATTCATATGGGGCAACAAATGACCCCGAATTGCTACAGCAATCCTCAGAAAAAAGGACAAAGCTGGAGGCATCACAATCCCTGACTTCAAAACATACTACAAAGCTACTGTAATCAAAACAGCATGGTATTGGTACAAAAACAGGTGCACAGATCAATGGAACAGAATTGAAAGCCCAGAAATAAAACCACACATCTATGGACAGCTAATCTTCGACAAAGGAGCTGAGGACCTACAATGGAGAAGAGAAAGTCTCTTCAACAAAGGGTGCTGGGAAAACTGGACAGCCACATGTAAAAGAATGAAAATTGGCCATTCTTTTTTACCATCCAGAAGAATAAACTCAAAATGGATCAAAGATCTAAAGGTAAGACCTGAAACCATAAGGCTTCTAGAAGAAAACACAGGGAGTACACTCTTTGACATCAGTATTAAAAGGATCTTTTCGGACACCATGTCTTCTCAGACAAGAGAAACAATAGAAAGAATAAACAAATGGGACTTCATCAGACTAAAGAACTTCTTCAAGGCAAGGGAAAACAGGA